GAATAGAGATACAAGCTGTTTCTCAAGAGAGGGTGCAAAGCTTGAAAATAAACTGCTGAGTAATTTGGTCCTGCTTACTTCTGAGGCTTCTCCTGCAGAGTCCTTCCCTACTTAACTTTCAAGGCCAGTCCTGCTTATTTCCAAGCGGACATATTCACTTTTGAGAAGATATGCAGAGGGCTGTTATGTAGGATGCTGCCTGAACACACTGCTGAGTGATTCAGTCTTGCTCACTTCTGAACAGACATCCAGAAACTTCATATTTGAACTGCTTTGAAAATGGGCCTGAATGCTACTTACTTTTGAGTAGACTTAAAATCAGAAATCATCTTGATCCCACTCCTAAATGGAATGCAGCATGCAGCATTAGAATACTTAGAATCAATCCCACTGGGTTTTCTGCATAGAAGCAGATCCAGTGCAATGACAGCATAACAGACCATTTCTATAACAGCAGTGGGCAACAGACATGAGGTGGTGCCAGGAGGGCAAAAAGCCAGTGAACTGCCAGTTTTTTGCACCTGTTGCCAAATTCAATGTGGAGGCAGCAGTATAAACCATGGGGTGGGGCAGAGAGCCCCCTGGCCCCTATAAAGCTGTCCAAACTGGCTCTACAAGGATTAGACAGGAAAATATCATTGAAAAGAAGGGCAGGTTTGATCAAATAGCAAGAATGCGGTGCATTCATTCATATATTATATTATAGTAATTCTATAACAAGTTGTTCTTATATAATTGAAATGCTTACAATAAGCCAAGAAGGCATTTAAAAGGAAATAGAGACTTTAAAGGGAAAATCTTGTTGCCCAAAAGGCTATAAATATTCTGCAATACGTATAGGCAACTTTTTAAAGCCTATAGGCAGGTACATTGGACAACCTCAAGAAATTTCCCAGGCAGTCCACGAAACTGCCACCCAGAAGACATAGCTACATGTCAGAACAGTCAAGTAATCTGCCCAAAAGGCTAAGCACAAGCCAGAGGTGGGTTCTGACTCCAACATGTGAAACAGCTCCTGTGACAAGAGTTTTCAATGAAAACAGAAACGTCTATCACAAAGGCAGGGCCGTTTTTTCTGCCATTCCTGTTGCCAGCCTAGTCTCTCTCTCTCAAAATTACCACTCATACACTCACTCACCATCCATAGACATGGTCTCTGTCTTTCCTTATTATTATATTACATTTCTATACTGCCCATAGCCAAAGCTCTCTGGACAGAGTTCAACCAGGCCCAACCCTGCTTAGCTTCTAAGATTAGGCAGGATAAGGCACTTCAGGCTATACGGAAGCCCCACCCACCAATCCATGCATGCATGCATGCTCTGTCTGTCACTCTCATGCACATGATAAACAGACTTTTCTCCATTTTTCTCCAAATTCTTCCTAAAACCTTTCTTTCTCTCTGTCTGCTTCTAATGTGTGTGCAGCCCACATGCATACAGATGCATTATATGTATGCATATAAACCTGCACTCCTCCCTACCTGGTTGCTCTTCGCTGGCCTCCAGTCTCCTCTGGCTTCTCTGTCCCTCTCATCTGGCTTATGCTGCCCTGTTTAACTTCCCTGCTCTCCCTAGCCCCCTCCTCACTCACCAGTGTTGCATGTGCAGAATCAAAAGGAATTCCTCCTCCTTTTTCTGTGTGGCTGTGAATGCTGCAGAAAAATCAGTCCGCAGCTGCCCACTGCTCTATTACTTCTTAGGAATGTCTGCGTGGCACATGTGACCCAGAGGCATTTGCGGAAATTGAAGATGGGTAGCAACTTGAGGCCCATACACTTTGCTTTGAAGTGATCCCGGCTGCCAGCAAGAACATTTTTTTAGCAAAGTGTTCTCCCACGGTAGGGCACACTGGCAAGTGCCAAGAAAGGGGTCTCATGCACTGGTGCTCATGGGCAGCACATAGGCTACCTCACCTGCAGGATAATGGCCACCTCTTTCTCTAGGGAGGCTGTGCGCTCTCCCACACTGGAAGCATTCAAGATGCAGCTGGGCAGCCATCTGAGAGGGATGGTTTAATTTGAGGTCTTACACTGAACATGGGGTTGGGCCCAATGGCCTTCTTGGCCTCTTCTAACTCTGCTATTCAGTGATTCTCAGAATTTAAGGATGCTTCTGTCTGGGGCATCTTAGCTGTAATTGGTATAAAACGTATTTGTGAACTACATTAGCAAGTGATGAGGCAAAACATAGCATTTTGCCTTTGGTACACAGAGGCAACCCCTTAGTCTTGCCCATCCCCCCTCTTAGCTGTGCTGTTAGCACAAATCTGTCATTCTTCACAGAGTTCAGGGCAGGGGTGTGGTGCCTGTAGCTATGTAACTGCATTGCCTTCTGTTTTGTGTGTACAACCTCGCTGCGTTTCCAAGGAATTCCCTCAACTTATAGATTGCTATTACTTTTATTGTGCTATGCTAGCCCAGTTGAGAACAGAATGATGCATACATACTATTCATGGTTCCAGAAACCTAGCTTAGTTCCCTTTTTGTCAGAATGCTTTACTGCTAACAGTATGGAAACTAGAACAAAGAAACTTTGATGAAAGCAACCTGTATGCCTTTCTCCTAAGAAACACTTAACAGTAATGTGGAGAACTAGCATGACTTCTAAACTCCATTTAGGAAAACTTCCATCTAAGTCAATGGGACTCTAGGTACACATTCAAAATTGCTTAAACCAGATCTTCTTCGGCACGTTCTAACCATACTCATACGAAAGGTAGCAAAAGCACCCTTTCAGAATTTGCCTTTGAAAGTGTTAGCTTCCTGAAACACTGTAGAAGATTAAAATAAATTTTACACAAATAACTTCAAAAGGAAACATGGGATACTTAAAAGTCTGAAAACCTGAAGTCTGAAAAGTCTGAACAGTATAGGAGGTAATACTGGGGCTAGAGGGGATGGGGAAATCGGAAAAAACCTGCCACCTCTCCTACCACTTTCTTCCAGCAAGGAAATGGATCCCATTTCCCTTTACAAACAGAAAGAACCTTCCATTTGTCGAAGGCCAATCTGTAGCCTAATGGAAAGATTCGAGATATATAGCAAAGGAGAGAATCCAATTAGTATTATGTCCTTTGGTCCTCTCGGTATAACAAAACCAAACATTCAAAAGTATAGATTAGCTAAATTTTTAAAAGACCTTTCTCAACTGAATAATCTCTTTGCCAAGTGTTGCATTTCATTGACCACACTACTGCATTTTCAATGTCAATTAACAGGATACATAGTTTTCAAGTGCACCTATTTCACAGTTTGTAAAACAGCTTGTAAATCCACTGGGATTCTAATAATTGGAGGGCTCTGTTTAAATGCTCTTTACAACACTACTGTAAAGAGACTGAAAGAAAAGGACAAATAAATAAAAGAACAGGTATCAAAAAGATTTTCAACACTGTAAAAGACGTTATTCAACACTTCAAAGGCTGAATTAAAAGAATGCAGAAAAGCACTGTGTTATTGCTACTGGCTCTAAGGATGTATCACATGGGTCTTGTCTGTAGTCCTATCACATATTTCTCTGGAATGTCTGACAGGTAAAACTGAGGATGGGGGGAAGAACAGATATGCTGGCCCCACCCCCTCAGAGTCACAGCTTTGCTGTGTTGAGCAGCATGGTCTGTACATGAACAGGCTCTCCTGCAGAACCTACCCCTAAACATGGCAAGGCTGAGTATCCGTGGGGTCAGAGGGCACAGGAACATTGATTAGTTTTATTGATCACACATTCTAGAGAAAGGATGAAGAGGGCTTGATTTAGACTAGCAAACAGGAGCTTTGTTTGACAAGACTGCTGGAATTACACTAATTACACTGGTACAAGCACTAATCTAATCAATGGCAAAGAGATGGCCATTTTCAATGTGTGATAATCTGCTTTCCTGCATGCCAGGCACTGGCTACAGTTAAAGCATTAAATTAAAGGTGTATCTTCTCCTATACTACCTGCAGCAGGAGCTTTTCAGTGCTGGCACCTGAACGACTTCCTAGGGAAACTCACCTAACTCCTTCATTAATGGGATTCAAACATCAAGTTAAGAGCCCTGTTATTTCAGGAAGCACTTAGAAGCAACATAAGGGGTTTTCTTTATATCCTGTAAAGCTTTTATTTGCAGTCTTTTGTATTAAATCACCTTGTGCAACATAGGATATAATTATTTTAAGCAATGAAAATGAAGAACAGCAGGCTTTCAGAAAAACAATTGGACAAATTATTGTATTGCATTTATATTCTGCCCTTTTTCCCTTTGTGAGAAACCCCAAGGCAGCTTACATCTCACTAAATGAAAAGAATCCACATGTGAAGAAACATCAAGACAACCTTTATACTTGGGAAAAATCATCTATGGTAAACTACTTTTCAAGCCAGCACTTTCCCTAGAAGTAAAAAATGACAAAATGGAGGCTGTCATACTATGGACACATCATGAGAAAGCAAGACTTGCTGGAGAAGATGATCTTGCTAGGGAGAGTCAAAGGCAGAAAAATGGAAGGCCAATATGAGATGGATTGACTCCATAAAGGAAGCCAAAGCCTTGAACTTAGAAGAGCTGAGCAGAGCTGTAATGAAGGGCTTTCATTCACAGAGCTGCCATATCTCAGAGATGACTTAATGGCACATAACAACAACAGCAACAACAAAAATATTTTTCAAATTTCACATCTAAACCAAAGCAATGCTGAAACATCACAGACAGGATGTGATTATTTTCATTTAAGCTCACAAACAGGCACAACAGAATTATGTGTACTAGCTAGCTTTATATCCATTAGAATTGGTGTTCCCTGTTTGTGTATATCAAACAGTTGTTATATCTCATACCACTACCACCTGCATCATTCAATCTTACTTCATACACTAAGAAGCAAGGATTCTGATTCAGTGATCTATATATGCCAATAGCTATACTTGCTCATGTGCGTGACCACTTTAAAAAATGTGATCCAACTGTATACAGTCACGCACTAGCAGCAGACATGAGTTGCATGATGCATTGCTTACCTTTGGAGGCTTGAAGGGATATTCTGGTGTAAATGTGATGTCAAGGAAGAAAACTCCACCTTCATATACTGAACCTGGAGGTCCTAAAATAGTTGATCTCCATTCATAGATATTATCACCTTTGGGGCCAGCACTGTGAATTAGAAGGGGAAAGGAGACATTTAGAATGATTTCCCTAAATAAGACTCACATATTTATGAAAAGCTGTTAAATTCCTGCAACACATGCTCCTTAGTGAATTGAGGCTTTGGACCGACAAGCAGCAGCCCACGGTAGGAAATGACTTGCAGAAAGTTGCCATCCAGGGTGTTGTGGAGGACAGGGGTTGGGGAATATTGCTGCTCCCATTCTACTTTAAAATAAGGCATAATGACAACTGCCTCTGTTTTCAGCTGCATTCATACTGGCAGGCTCTGAAGGGGTGGAGGTGGAAACTGGAAGAAACTGTATGTGTAGGTTGCTGAGGAATTCTGCAGCTGTCCTCTACAGCTTCCGAACAAACAGAAAGAAAGAGAGAAAAGTGTGGGTTGGTCGTCCCCATGCATATGTAGTTCCTGCTGTTTCCCTGGCTCCATAGTGTGTTTCTGGGCACAATTCAAAGTGCTAATTTTGACCTATAAAGCTCCAAGCAACCTGGCTCCAGGGTCTGTGTAGGACTAGCTTCTTCAGTATGAATCTGACAGCTCACTAAGAACTTCATCCCAATCCCTGCTCTGACTTCTGAGTTCAGGTGATGGCAACTTTTCTGTGCTGATGCCGTTTCCCAAACATACTCCCTATACAGATCTGTCTAGTGTTTACATGTCTGCCAGACACAGGGCAGAAGGACAACAAAAGCAACAAGCAGACCCTGAATTCAGCACTGAGCTGGCCTACTGCTGGCAATTTTGTTGTCAACCAGTGCTATAAAGGTGGATAGGCAATGCATTTGACAAACTTATCATTATCTGTGGAATAACAAGTGAAAACATGTATCTATTTTTGATTAAGAAAAGAAAAATACACCCCTCTGCCCCCAGAAACATCAATTCAATGCCAGATGAAACCATGACTGAGTTCACTGACAACACAATAACCCACACTCAAGACTTGAGTATAGGCTGCATATAGGCTGTCACAGAACTGTGGATTGTTGTTGAAATATAAGTTATTGTGTTACCTGAACTCAGTTGCGATAACAGAGCATGCTGAACAACCGATAGGTCAAAGCCCACCAACAAACCGTGGCTTCTCAGCACAGCTAGGTTTAGACAGCACAGTAACCCACATTGCAGCAACAACCCACACTCAACCCATATTCAACCCTTGAGTGCAGGTCTGAACCCAGCCACTAACAATCAAATTCCAAGTCTCTTCAAAAAGGAATATAACACTATATTCCCAACTCTGTTGATCAATTCACCATTGCAATGATTTGTGATTTAACAAAAATAATGTTCTATGTATTGCCACAGTTAAGTACTTCCTTCATTTCAACTCCCCCTGGCCTGTTTACAATCAGCCCTCCTGCAATGTGTTTACATACTGGTAACTCAAGAAGCACATCATGCAGCTGATGAAGTAGACTATGGTCCACAAAAGTCTGTTCTAGATCACTGTCTGACTGGATGAGGGCCAATAAGCTGAGACTCAGTCCAGACAAGATAGAGATGCTGATGATGGGCAGATCATCTGTCCAGTTGGGAACATTCACTCTATCCTGAGTGCAACTTGAGTGCAACTGCTGGTGGACTCGTTGGCCAGGAGCACCTTTTATCAGCTCCAGCTGATTCACTAACTGCATCCCCACCTGGACAGAAAGAGCCTTGACACATTTATCCATGCTCTGGTAACCTCCTGACTAGATTACTGTAATGGAATACTTTATGTATTCCTGCCTGAACCTTAAGATCTTCAACAAAGGTCCTTCTTTTAAAAGTGGGACAACGGTTAGGAGAAGAACCTTCTCTATGGTTGTACCCTGTCTGTGGAACTTGTTCTACCAAGGAGCTTTGCCTGGCACTGTCCTTTTTCTCTTTTCAGCACCAGCTTAATTTTTTTTATTTACCAAACATTTTAATAATTAACTAGATATTGATTTTAATACTGTTTTATTGATGTTTTCAAGGTGCCATTGTGTTATAAGTTGTATTACCCCTTCTTATGGCCTGTTGAGTTACCATGTTACATGTATTCTGTTTTAATTATCTTTTAATGTTATTTATTATGTTTTCTACTGTACACCACCCAGAGAGCCTCATGGATTATAGGGCAGTATATAAATGTAGGTAATAAATAATAAAAACTCATGTAAGTTTCCTAATTTTAAGGTGTCACAAGTGAGGTAACTTATCTCAACAGTAAACAGGAACTTTGCAGTTTTACTTAAACACTGTATTTACAATGAGATATATAGAACCTATGCTTGCTTATCGATTTAAGATGCAGGATGACTACTTTCTCACTTCTGAAGTAGAAAATCAGTAGATGAAGATCTTCCCAGCACTGGGAAGCAGTAATAGGAGAAGTTTCAAGATTCAGAATTTTTCCCAACATACAACTGTCAAAGGCACAAGAATTAACACAGGAAGATAAAAGCCAAACAGTAGAATAGCAACAGATTTCATTTCTATTTTGCTTTTCTTAAGCACATTAAGATGGCCTTAATGTGGCATACATGGGGTTCTCAATGCAGACACCAACCAGATTCAGACTTGCTAGTTTCAACAAGGTTATTCTAACTTATGTCTTCAGACTATGTTCTGGACCAAGGTTATTTGACAAAGAAAATATGACAAGTACAAGAGAAAGAGCCTTATCTACCTTTTTGGGAAACTACCAGATTAATTATTTTATTAAGTTAAGACATTTACTAAATTTTTTCTTTGTTAAAACTTCACACAATTAACTGTGTCACAACAGCTTAGAAGAGGTACATGCTAAAGAATAGCCTTCCTCATATACCGCAAAGAGTCAAGATGCTCCTCCTCTCTCTACTAATTGTTTCTCTGTATCCCATACCAGATTCATACATTTGAGTATCTAGCTCTTGGAAGCTACTGTAGATGAAAAGGGCTGTAATGTTACTTTATTTGCATGATCAACTCTGACAGACGCTAGAGCTAACTGTGCACACTTATTGAGAAAGAGCTCTCTTGAGTACCCATATCCATCAGTCCAAGGAATTGTCTAAATGGGATTACCATGCTGCTAAAACACTATCATTACCTTAAGTTGCATTAGGTACCTCTCTTACGATGGAGTTTGATTATCTCTAAATACAGTCATTTTTGACTGCCCCACTTTAGTTAGCTTTTACTTTCTACCAAAGAGGAGAATATTGCCAACCAAATAAACAATGCCACTGAAAGAAAGATGTTCAATAATCATTTATACACAAATCAGAGTTTTCAATACCTCTTCATTACATTTCCAGAAACCATACAATCTGACAAGGAGTACTGAAATTAGTATACTACCTCTGGAACACACTAAAAACAAAACAGACAACAAATTTGATAAATCTCAAATACAGATGCAGCCATGCATTCAGCAAGTGCCCTTGGTGATGTCTCAGCCCCTCATGCATTAATAGGAATATTGGCCATTTATGTAAAACAATATTAATATTAAACAAACATATTAAACAAGGATATTAAATATTAAACAAGCTCTGCATGTTGAAAATGCTAGGGAAAACCTACCCTAACATTTCATCAAAAAGCAGTACATGGTATCAAATACTCAAGTGCTTATGGAAAAAGAAATAGTATTTTAGCAGTGTTATCAGCATAATACTAACGTTACTGATACATGCAAAGTGCATTATGGGTGAGGCATTACTGACATTTTCCCCCAAACTGCATTTAATATGAGAACTTATAGGCATGTTGTATGAATGCAAAACAATCTTTTTAGCAACTTCAGTCACTATGCCCTAGTTGAGCATGTTATTTTCCTATCTTTATTAAGCTCTTAAACACATTATCAGCAGAAAAGGGAAAACATTTAAAAGTTAAAACTAGCTGTACTTTATGGGAGCTGTAAAATGTTCCCTGCACAGCTTGTGACTTTTAGGGGTAATCCTTCACATTTATTTTAGCATGTATCCCCTAACTTTCTATAAATCACACACAAGATACCACACAAATCCTATCGCAATCCTATGTTTAGTAATGAATCAGAGTAGGTTCTGCATAGGCTAATTTGCATCTAGAAATTTTCATTTTCCTTCAGGGCAAAATCTGATTCCTCAGGGCTTGGATGGGCACCTTGTGACCCTTCAGATTAATGCTTCCATTAATTCTTCACCATGGACTATACTGACTAGGTACAGAGAGTGATCTGAGTTAGCACATTTATTTTACTAGTTGTATTTAGTAAACAATAAACCTTAATCAAAATACCCCATGTTCTTTTTTGGCTCAATATAGCATAAACATCTGACCTGAAATATCTGAGTGGGAAAAATTACTCCTATTAAACACAGTTATTCTATAAGTTAGGGCAATGTGCAGCTCCTGCTGCAATCCAAAATTATTTCTATTGTTATTTTTTTAAATGGTGTTTAGAATGACTATTTTGAATCTTTTGTTACTTTTCCCATTCCAGATCCTGTTGCTTAAAATATTTTTTCAGCACTGTGGCTTGAGGAGCCTGCTGGATTTCTTGAAGCTGCTACCTGTTGGGCCATGCAGAAACTTTTACTAGAATCCTTGTAAAATTTAAAAGCAGTAGCGGTAGCAGTAGCACTTCCCTTACATTGGTTAAATTTAAGAGGAAAATGGTGCTGAAAATAGGTGACACACTAAACAAATTAGCCTGCCAACACCGCAAAAAACAGTCCCTGAGATGCTGATGACCCCCCCCCCGCCCCACTTTGAAACAGCCGAGCTTGCCTCCACAGTATCCCTTACTGTTATCCCTTCACAGTAACCAACGTGCTCATGAAATGGAAGTTTTCTAGTCCTACATTGTGGCAGTGTATTTTGTTTGATGGGCGAGGGGGTGGCGGGGGTGAGGACAGGAGCTTCAGAGGAGGTAGCGGCGGTGTGACAGAGGCTTTGTTGTCTTCTTTTTCCATTGCATTTACATCCCACTTTTTTCCGCTTGTGAGGAACTCAAGAGTGGCTTATTTAGCTTCATTTTATCTCC